ACAATAGTTGGTTGTGATGGGTTATGTTCTTTTTAGGCCAGTTAGAGTCAAAAGCTTACAAAACACCTTACTGTGATAGGTTATGTCCATTTTGCACCTATTGGACTTAACAGTTTGGAAACGATGATTCTGTTAGGCTACGTGTACTTTGAGATCACAATAACTGTGAAGAGACATACCACAAGCAACGCAATGAAGACTTTTGAAACTGCCTCGTGACCCACTAACGCAACCGTTCGAGCTAATTTACAAACCAATTTATTTACTGCTACGGACATACTGTAAATAAGTAGCCCTTCACTAAAATTGTCGTAGGATTGCGGAAGACCTCTAATTCGACACTTGATGTCTCTCGGGTGGAAAATTGGCATCTGCCGACGAATCCGAACTCGAACTGGAAGTGGGTTTAGCACCCGGAAATCATCCGTTCTGGATTCTGAAAGTTCGTTTTATACAGTTATATCATTTCCCTGGCTTCGAGATTCCAGCATTCTCCACTGTTTCGACATCTTTATTGCTATAAAAACGTTCGAAGTGGGTTTCCTGTTATTTTATGGTATTGAGACGATTCTAGTTTTAGATCAAAAATGTTAATCAGTTGTTCTTAAAACCTACTCGTCAAAAGCTGCCTAATTGTGTTTACGGGTTTTATATGAAGCTTGTACATTTTTTCTTCCCAACACCTTTACAGGATAGTTTTAGAGCTTCAAATAGACCAGCTAAAACTGTCCTGTCTATTCGGGAAACAGTTTTACAATTGAGCACATGTTTTAGAAAACGTTTGCGTACTATTATGTCTGGCTTGTATTCAACTGTCTAGGTCAATTCAAAACCCAACTGTAATCTGTTTTGATGGTCATCAATTTTTCGTGTTTTTATCCACGGTTTTACCCTCGTCACTGTCCTGGATGTGGTAAAGAGGAGGCCTCTTTCCAAAATATAGAGAAAATAAAAAAAAAGTTAATTGCCTTGGCAAAAGAAAAGATTTCTTTTTTGAAATCAGTCCTCACAACATGCGAATTATTAGATCAGTTATTCATTCCCGATAGTTATTGATACGTTCCTCTAGACACCTAAACTTCAAGCCCTCTTCAGTTCCCATAGGATCTCCAGTAAGGACCCTGTTGTAGGAAGGGTGTCAGTCCCCACACGACCCGGACTGGACGAGTTTCGCTTTTGGCAAGTTACTCGAGACTTTCCCCACTCGGAACTTGCTCTGAAAATATGCGCATTGACGGAAACACTTGGGCAACCTCGACCGGTCCGGCTAAAATAAGAACAACCTTGACCAATACTGGTACAACGATCTTGTTTCTGGCTGAACTTGTTGTCATTAATGCCGTCCTTATTTACTACTCTGAACTACTCTGATAAACCTCAATTTGATGTGTAATTTAAACTTGTTTACTTGGGTTTTACTATGAGAAAACTATTTGTATGATGTACGGATGGGGGAGAAATTATTATAGTTACAATACATAACAAAAGATAACAGATCAAGACGTGTATGGAATTTTGTCATATAAGAAGGTCTTAACATATTTTACTAGGAGTATTACTTACTATTTACTAATTATTAAATAGGGTCTAAATTTTGCAATAGGATAAGAAGTTTTCTTGTACTGTTTAAAGTAAATAGTAAGACTACATGTTTATAATGGCCTATTTATATGAAAATATTGATTTCAGAATACCTAGTTATTTAAAACTGCTGATTCAAATAGCTGTTTTAATTCCCAATCACATCAGATAAATATAATTTGTTATAACCTAATTTATATTAGCGTTACATAAGTAAAATCTGTAAAATACTGTGTCTATCGATCAGTGGTAGTTTCCAAATGGTGTGTAAAACTTTCTCTGTATTATTTTATTAGTGGTAATCATCCGAATTTTTTCCTTTGCACTGTGTTTAGGTCGTATATTTGCTTGACTTTAAGCATATGCTAACGCTATGATTTTTGTTTACATTACCGACGTTATTTTGTCACCACCATAGCAACTAATGAGACCAATGTTTAAAATTTAAAAACTTAAAGATACTTTAAAATTATATAGGCACTAGCTGTACCCGCGGGCTTGGCCCCGTTTAACTTCATAAGTATTCGCATGGCTCAATTACGTTCTGATTGAAATTCGTTCGCTAAACTAACTCGCCTCCAGGTTAAAGTTCGTTCGCTACGCTCCCTCAGCTTTTGGTTGCAAATTAGCTGTTGTCATAAATGAAAAAAAAAATTATAGTGCTGTCCCTGTTGGTAATCCTTGTAACTTTAATGCTATTGAACATCCCAGAACAGATCCAACTTGTTTAATTGAAACAGCTGTTAAGATTCATTATAAATTCCTTTTAAATATGAAAAAGCATAAGGTTAACATTGGAAACTCCAGAGCCACTGGGGCGGAGCCCGGAAGCCCGATCAGAATAAAAGCTACTTATTTTTCCTATTTAATGCCCAAAGAATCGGTGTACCGAATTTCAGCCTCCTAGGTAAATGGGAAGTGCGAGAATTAGTGATGAGTGAGTGAGTGAGTGAGTGAGTCAGTGAGGGCTTTGCCTTATATATATAGATTATCAACACTGCAATTGTTTAATCTCAAACCTTCCAAATATTTGTCGCAACAACCTTGGTAAGTTTGACTCTAATATGTTTAGCCGTTATTGAGTGTTAGAAAGTTTGCGTTGAAGCCGATCTCAAAGAGCTTCGTTTCGCTCTGCTCAATTTCTAATTATTAATTATTATTACTATTTATTATTATTTTACTAGGCTATTAAACTAATGCTGAAAAAATAAACACATTATCCACGGCAATCGCAAAGTTGATAAATGGGTTACTTGCTTTTAATTGAACCTAACGGGGTTTCAAGACTACTTGGACACTCACTATCTCAACTCATCCACCCACTATGGTTCACTCTATTTCAACCATACCCAATTAATCTGGTTTTACGCGTACAACAAAATGCTGTCCATACCACAAAGTCCTCAGTCTACATCGATAAATTCAAACTGAGATGGCCGTCAGAAGAAAACCTTCATGTCAAATAAAATTCTATCACTCTTCACAGAAATACTACAGTAAAATGCCACGGGTGTAAAGGATCTACAGAATCAAAGTGCTCAAACTCAACTGCCTACTCGATAGTTTACCTGTCCAAGAACTAGAACGTAGATTTGGCCATCGTGAAATTTCATCTGAGCGGAAAGTTCCCATATTGACACGCCGATTGATCAACGTGTGCTCGTCGTGTATGAATAAGTGATTGAGTTAACAAACGATGTTCACGATGGCAAACAACAGAAAGTGGCCCTGGGGCGGCGAGGCTCGTGATTAGCCCACATCTGAGAGGTGAGGGGCCAAGTGTTGGAAAGTGTTGCGAGCACCTGCAGCGCGCTCCGGGGGTCCGACTCGTAGAATGCTAACAGTTTTATGTCAGAGTGTTTGTGACTCCTTGCAAACACATCTGGAGATGATTTGTAAGAGATCAACGACTTGATTATCTTGGGAGTATTGTCATGTAGTTGGGGTTGTAAGATATCATGAGTGTGTGTAGAAATAAAATGTGGTCAGGGGGTTCTCCGTGGAATCCCATGTATTATCAAATACCCGTATAATTTGTTCGGTCTTATAGATTGGTGTTGAAATAGTTTCCCAGTATACTTAAACTTAATTCAAATTATATTCACTGTATTTTTTACCGTCTCAAAGGGTTTTATAAGGATTTGAATTTTCCAAGCGAAACTTTCGTTCCTTATCTAAAAACTGTCATTAAGTTGGATTGCCAGATTATGACGCTCTAAGCAATTCAGTATCATTATGTCCCTATTAAAATTGCTTCGCTTTACAAATTTAAATATTTTAAATGTCACGTCTCTTACTATTGGGATTGTTCTCTAGATGAAGAATTTACGATTGCAGTGAGTTTCCTATTGGTTTAGACAATACTTTGAGAAAATAAGACAGCTATCGATTTAGGATAAAATCTTCCTAAACTACCTTCAGAGCACAAGGGTGCCAAGCCAAGGAGACATAGGGCATTATTAATCAAAATCCACGATAATCTATACTTATTTAATACGCAAGCAGGATTTTTGTGACAATTACTCCTCCGAAACTACGAAACCAATTTACATGTTCTTGGTGTCATTGGAAAGAGCGTACCGTGAAGTTGTGCAGGAAACTTTCTTTTTAGGGAAATAATTAGAGGGTGAGGCCCTGGAGCCCTTTAAAGTTTTGTATTTCTCCATAAGATTAACATGGGAAACAAATATTGTTATGAAACTCCAGCTGTTGTCAGAAATTTAAAGTGAGAAGAAGGGCATATGTTAATTGTAAACACAGTCAATAAGTTTGCTAATTTAACGGTTAGTTTGCTACAAACATTTACTTACTTGGTTGAAATGAAATAGTTACTATTTGAATTTGGGTTGGCGTAAATATTACAACGGAAAAAAACGAGAGAGCCTGGATAAATGGTTATACTAAAAATAAACTGAATTAACACTGTGCTGCATTTCTTAGTAATCATTGAAAGAGCCGATTAGCAAACTATGGAAACATAAAAGTCATAAAACACCACCAAGGAGAAGAAATTGAAATAATGTGTGTTTTTTTTATATATAATCGTTATTATGGACAACCTAATGTGGCTTTGAGTAAGGCTATATGTAGAAAACACTAAAAAATCTGCTTCTGAAAAATGATAAGATATTTTTACAAAAAATGTTGATTATATCGATCTGTTATGTACATCTTGAGTATTCCATAATATTTGAGTCGAATCTTTTAAAGTCATCAAAAATTATAACTGTTATTTGTTTTAAAATAATGCCTGAAATACTTAGAAATTGCTCGATTTCGAGCAACAGGGACACTAGTTATAAATATATTTTTGAAGTTATATGAAATTGACATTAAAACCATTTTCCCGGAGTATCGTGGGAATGTAGGCCCTACATGGTAGGTTAAATATGAACATGGTAGGTTTTGTGGGTATTTACCTGCAGGAGAGCGAGGACAGCAAGGCAGATGGACGCCAGGCGCCCCGGCTGGGACGACATACTGATCCTCATTCGGTCACTCTATCTGTAACAGGAGATACGATTAGTTATCATAAACCGTTACCATGTCACACATGTCCACTGCATCACTCCACACCTTGGGATATCGTAGCTTCTTCTTCCGGACATGATAACAAACTAAATCTAGTGATAGAATCCTAGAGATATATGAGGCTTTGGTTCAGTAATTGTAAATACAAGTTCTGAGCCAAACGATTAATTAAAGCTAATCACAATTCAATTATAGTACATGACACCATACAAAGAGTATGTTCTTGTGTACCTATCTATGATGAGACTTATGGGTTTCCTTTTTTTTCAGGGATTCAAATTTTTCTTGTAAAAGGACTTTAGTTGGTAAGTACATCACTTCACATACCTAGAGTTACATAAAGCTATGCCTGCTATAATTGTTTTTCAACAATCAAAAATGTAACCTTACTTGTTTATAGGTATAAATATCATATTACAAACTATAAACAACGTGGTTGTCCCATTCGTCGCACTATCTCAGCCAGACTCCATACACAGGCACAACCCTAACCTGTCCCACCGTTTTGGAACGGAGATCGAGAACACTAATCGAATTCAACTTTCCACGCCATCCACGATTATCAGGTTGTACCGAGCACGATCTCCATAAGGAAGGAGTGGTTGGAAAGTGGCGTCCCATCGGGCAGGTGGCTGGGCCAATAAATGTAGCAAGCGTTGGAAAGTGACACCAGCAACTCAGGAGAAGAGAATCATCCTACTGACCCACAGACTATCTCGCATGGCCGACTTTCACCCCTTCCTTGATCACAACCACCACCACGGCACCACATACAAGCCTTGCTAGACAAAGGTGGACTCGAGTGACATCTAGGGTTACGCCCCTCCCACCCGGGTTAGGTTACGTGACCATGTGTCTCTTGATGACCCAGATATCATCAACCTGTCCACCCGCTACGCCAAAACAAAACTGTATCAAGATTCGGTTGCAGGCAAAATTTACTAGGAATGATGACAAAGTATCAAAATATCTTGATTATTTTCATTTGTGAATAAGGGTTGAAATGATTTACAACATTGCATGCATACATCTATATGCTTGAGCATTCATCCATTTGCTGCATAGCAGGAAGTTTTCTTCAAGAAGAGACAGACGACAGATTACATCAAACTACTGTAAAATCAAACCCTATAATGCTGATTGGAAAGTGTTTGCTGATCTGCCTCTACCTTGTGATTATATAAGTGTGTGTTATGTGCGGGTAAATGAATCGATTGAAGACTGTTGTGGGGTGAGATCATCTATACTTGAAACCACAATGATATGCAAGCAAGAAATCGACAAACTCAACAGTTTTGTTTTGATGTTTACAAAACTTTAATTTCAGGTAATGTCGTAGCATACGATTATTTAACTGTTTAGGGAAAGGTAGTCTTTCGAAAAGGGGTTGGTTGGATTATGAAGGTAGTATGATAGATGTCTCTTGGCATATTGAAATATTAAGGCTTGATAGCTATGTTAGAGTGATGTCCATTTATAGTTTTCTATAGCTAATACAAATTGGCTCATGATCGGTTAAACTTCGATCGAGCTACTGTACTAAAAGTGATAATTGAAACTACGTCCTGTGCACATGCATTTGAATCAATATAGTAGATTGTGTATCGTGTGAGATCCACAACATCCATACTCCCCTCAAAAGAACAATCTCAGTTGTACAGCCACATACAATGCATTTGAATTTACATTCAGAACCGTACGAGTTTGAGTTAAGTTACAACGATCACAAGTGTCGGCGCCGGCGTCACGGAGAAAGGTAATGGCATTCGCCTAGCCAAGGTTCCCGCCAGTTTTTCTTCATTTCCCGCGGGCGCGGACTCAGTCAAGTGTACGGAGGGGTTTGTTTTGTGGGGACCACCGGAAGACAGATGGTGGGCTCAACTTTCTCCAGTTCTGCCCGACTGCTGCATCCGGCTCTCTGACCTTGAGTAGCAACGGACTTTCTACGACGCGTTCTACACGCTGCACGCATCCGACATCTCCGTGAAATGAACATGTCTACTTGTTACACGCTGAAGAAACTGTTTCCATCAGCATTTACTTGGTTTGTTGAGATAATGTGCAATTTCGGCCAGGTTGCACCCTCAATTAAATGCAACAATAACATGAATTTGATTACTACCCCGAGCCTTTCATCAGCAACTTTCACTGTGTTGAGATATGAATATTCCCATTTACTTTTATTCATGTCCATAGTAATCAATGTTGCTTACACATTAAGACGTGATTGACATTATCTTTCCACTATCTTTCTTGAAATTATTATTTTATGTTTAACCAATTTCCTGAATATCACCAAAATTTTACCAGCCAAAATAATTTGTAGGTATAAAAATGTACATTATACTGAAGATAATAGCAATAATTATTTAAACTACAAAGATGGTTAAATTTCTTTTGGACCTCTGCTCGTATGATATAACATGTGTTAATTTATTTATGTATTTATTCGTATGTTATCAAATTTATTGTGTAACTGGCATCTCTTTTAGTCGGGATAGTTGAGCCAGGAGAGGTATCTTTCTGATGATGTATCCGAATCCGAATAGTATGATTTTACTTAAAAGAGAATAAATTGACTGGTTGGCTACGATGCTGATAAATCAAGGTACAGTAAGCAAGGGTGGGTTCTGAATTAATAAGTTCATATCTTTGTAACTGATTTCAAGAATGCATTTAGTAAGGACGATTTGCTTCATTAATGATGAATGATAGTTGTGCTTAGTCTTAAACCACCACAAAATGCTGGAGCTGTTATAAGGATCAGACCGGCAACTTTTGGTGAGCACTCTAATCAATCTCGCCATGTCACCAATCAAGATAGGATATAATCTAAGGTAATACATCACTGTTAGGGCAGCTTATGTTTTACTCAAAAATAAATGAAATATGAGGGCGTAATGCCTTGGGGTCGTGGAGCTTAGTACTGACTAAGGTAAGATGCTTCTCCATCCAGGGCCATTTATTAAAAGTCCTAACATTAACGACAGCTGGGTTCATAATTATCAACGACAACCACAATAACCAGTATGTGGCGTCTAAAATAAAATCCTCCAAAGTTTTGAAATAACCTTGTCTACAAACCATCGGAAACGTTACGAGTTCCAAGTACTTTGCTAAGCGAGTTTCGAGTTCCGAGTAGCAAGTGATCGGCGAGTTTCGAGTTCCAAGTAGCGAGGGAGATGCACAGCGTGTTGCACGTCCGTGCACGAAAGGAAACACGAGTTGTGGAGTATGTGGGTCAGATATCTGTCGCCGGATTAAAGAAACGTGGAGAATAGTTGGGAAGAGAGCGATACGAATTCTATCTGTATCTGAGATCAAGACGCGAGCTGCGAGCCGCCAGCTTTCACCGCAACAATGGGATTGCCGCCATTTACTCATTGTTGTCGTTATCAGCGTCACTTTCACTGTCTGATAAGGCACAATACTGGAGCACCGACCTACATGTCTTCCTGTTGCTCGGCGCCGCCCGCTACGCACTACGCATGCTCATTGCTCAGCACATTGTCAACTGCTCGTTATGACAGACAATAGTCATGCGCGAGCCTCTTTACTTTCTCTTTCCTTGTTTTCGAAGCATGTCTAATTAAAACTCATCTGACTTCCCTTCTTTTCAATGAGTCTTTTATTATGTAAAAGGAACGTTGTTAATGTCGTCGGAGTTATGTAAATTTTAATATAATTCGAGGGTTAATATAAAGAAGGCATGACTTGCGGGTTATTTGGGATTGAAAACGATTTAAGGCTTTGTAGTGAGAACATACCGATACAAAGGATAATATGTAGGCCTATCTTATGTCCACACCTTTACTTATGAAACTTGTAATAGATATTGATAGTTCTGATACAAACCGGTAAGTTAAATTGACGTAACCATGAATCTTGAACGCTCCGCCCAACTGGCTTTCACTACTATGAAAGCATTCCTAGTGATCATCTTTTTCATATTAAGACTTAGGGGGGACTCGATATGATTACTCCGACTATTCATGAAGTTCTAAGTCCTTAAAGTGGCTTAGTGCTTCACATAATGTTCACGAGCTAATAATTTCGTAACCATTTGCGAAGGAATTAATTGGTAATAATGCACTGAACAATTTAGACGGCTTTTAGCAGCATGTATTGCCACTTAGGTATACTTATAGTCTGTCATTGTAGATCTGTTTTATACCAAAGCTAATTTGAAGTAATGATTGGTGCACTGAGTAGCCTATATAAAAAATACGACAAAGTTTGTAAACAAACAAATCTCCTAATAAGGATAGCCAATTAATTTAATTCAGTACAGACATTTTAAGCTCTTCCGCGACACAATTATCCATACATAATGACGTTTCGTTAAATGAGTAAACTATTCTCTAAACATGTTAAAACTTATTTTCCGAGCCATTTGTAAAACTATTTACAGAAATTACCACTAACCTCTATCCTTTAACTGGTTTTCTGTGTGAAGATTTTTGACAAAGAATATTCATTGGCTTCGTTTATAGTTTAATCGAAGTAATAACACGGTTGATTAAAATGTAAAGGTCGCCAATAACGGCATAGGAGAAGCCCAATTGTGAGAGTACGTGAGAGATTGTGCGTTCATTGGCAATTAGAAAGGACCTATCACTTGAGGTCTCTACAAAACTAGATATTGCTTTCAACAAAAGTGTAGTCATTCCCATTACCTTCTTCAATAGTCAGAAAACGCCAAGTTTACATTAAGTCTCTGAAATCCCTAGAGGGTAGGACATTTTACAAATCTATTTGCACCGAATCAAGTACGTATGGATCTGACATTGTCAAATTGAACATTCATTAACACACAGAACTTGCCGGACTAAAATTTACCTGCATTTCATATACCTATATCACTAACATTGAAATAATGGAAATTTTATTGTGTAGCTAAAGAGCTCTGGCCTAAAATATGTTTTGGTCACCTACCGAGATGCCTAAAATCACTTGTTAACACCTTGTTATGG